AGGGCTTGGCAAGAGAAGCCATCCACTGCGGCCTTGGAGACCTCTCACCAAACTTCCTGCCCAAGCATCTGCATGGCCATCCTTCGCCTCTAATTCCCCATAATACCACAGACTCTGAGTCACTCTGAATGTGAGCAGCACTCACAGGTCACTCATCAGTTTTCTGTTTCTTGGCAGAAGCTCTCAGAGAAATGCAAGCATAGCTCAACACCCTGGCCGGGGGCCTAGAAACAGCCTCCTGTTGCCCACAAATCTTTCTGCCAGAAAGTGTTCGGTCTTAGTTCCTCCCAATCAGCTCAGAGTTCTCTTTTCATTTATTTTTATTTCTCTAATAGCATTGGATCAGCACTTACTGTGATAAGTTCCAGTACAGGCTCTATGTGAGAAGATAATCAGAACACTTTCAGTCTCCAGATAGAAATATCTAATCCAACCCGGGAGATGAGACAGGCTAGTACGTAAAAGATTTAGGAGCTCCTACATCTCTTCAAAAATATGCTCTGAGCTCCTACCACATGCCTAACACTGACCAACAGAGATATGAGTTTCCGCCCTCCTGGAGGTTTCTGGCTGCTTGGGAAGATGGGCTTTAAATAAACCAATAATTATTTTGCTACAACTGTGGTAAGTGCTAGGCAGGAAAAGTGAAAGATACTATGAGGGAGAGTGACATAGGGGCTAGATTCTGAGGTAGAGAGAGGGTCAGGAGACATCTCCCCAAAGAAGTAACATATCAGCTGAGACCTGAAGGATGATTCGGACTTAAGTAAAAAGTGAGGGAGGGGTTTGCTTGGAAGAGTGGGGAATTCCTGAAGTAGGAACCAGGAGGTACAAAGGCCCTCAAGTAGGGATGAGCTTTGGGTGGTGTATCTGTGGAGAGATCGGGAGCCTGGAGAGAAAGGGAGAAACAGCCAAAAATGGTCCTAGAAGGAGGCAGGTAGACCTCACAGAGCATTGTAGACCATATAAGTGATCTGGAACCTTAAGTGCCATGGAGAGTAATTAAGGGCTTTAAGCAGTTTAAATGAATGGAATGTAACAACTAATCGATTGCCTCAAAAGTTATTTATTTGACTATTATATATAATATATAATAAAGTAATATAAACTACTATATTAATAATTAGGACCACAGCAGGGCCCCATAGAAGGCACTAGGGATTGGAGCTGCGAGGAGCCTGAGGAAGAGCAGGAGGAAATGGGGACCGACCCAGCTGGCTACTCCTACCAGCCCCTGAATCAAAATCCTGAACCAGAGGAGGTGGAGCTGGCACCAGTAGGGGACGGAGAAGATGTGGTGGTGGTTATCCAGGCCCGGATCCAGGCCCTGGGGCTTCATATGCCAGACCCACCATTAGAGAGCGAGGATGAAGATGAGGAAGGAGCAACCACAGCTCTATTCTCACGGACCCAGAACATGTAGAGCTGGTGAAAAGGACAAATGGCTGGAGTACTTTGCCTGCACCAGGGGTTCCTGCCTGGGCTCGGGAGATATCAGATGTCAGTGGAAAGACGTGGTACAGATGGCTCTCCAAGCCCGGCAGGCATCCTCCGCCTGGAAGTGAGCACCTTGAGAGCTGCCTTATCTCCCTGCATTCCACTGGAACCAGCACAGGACTGAACACATCCGTGGTTGTGACGCCCATCTCCCTTCCACATCAAGGCAAACCAAATTTCTTCTCAGAGACCCGCTTTATTCAGCCTGTACTTGTGGAGACATCAGCCCAAGCCCAACCTACCATAGCATGTATCACTCTGGAGAATAAAGCACCCTATGTGCTCAGAAGAAAAAAATAATAATAATAATAATAAAATTTTTAAGGTAAAATGGTGTAGCCTCTGTAGAAAACAGTTTGGTGGTTCCTCAAAAAGCTAAACATAAAGTCACCATATGACCCAGCAACTCTACTTCTGGATATATACCCAAAAGGATTGAAAACAGGGACTCAAACAGATACTTGTAAGCCATCCTAGTAGCGTTCATTATTCACAGTGGCCAAAAGTGGAAGCAACTCAAGTGTCCGTCAACACATGCATGGATAAACAAAATATCATCCATTCATGTGTTGCATTTCACACATCCAGGAATGTACTTGTTCTTAAGTAAGGGATAAAAACACGCTCTCATCAGGAGAGATGGATCACCTGGTGTGGCCCTAATTCCTCGGTCTGATTAGAGAATATACACTCTTCCCTCATCTTGTTTTCCCCTTTTCTCTTACACAAAAGATAACATTTCCTGATCCTCAGAAACATCAGGAAGCCTGGATTCTCAGTGGTGTTCTTTGTGCAGTGCACCTTCCTAGAGAGAGAGAGAACAGTATTTCTCAGGAGTATCAGAGACTTAGTCCTGCATCTTAGCCATCCTCTCCAGTCCTGATTCATCCATTCTAGTCCTTCCCAATGAAGTTTGGGCCTTTGGTAAGCAAGAAAGTGGCTCTGGTTCTCAGACCTAAGGGGTCAGGTCCCATCCAAGGATATACAACGGGGGTTTGAATAGGGATTTGTAACAGTAATGAATTATTTTCTTCAATTGGTACTCAAAATTTACTAGGAATATGGGTTGACTGGGAAGCTTTCTAAAAGGCAGATCCCAGAGCATATCCCAATCTCTGGCCCTGGGCCCGAACATTTGAAACGTAAACAAACTCCCTAGCTAATTCTGATGAAGATGGTCCACGAGTTTTCTGCGACTACCTACCTCGTGCCTGCTTACGACAGTAATCAATGTTGCTGTGACAGTAGCCAATCTGAGTGGCCTTCTGCTGCTGCTGCTGCCCAGGCAACAACAGACTTTTTGGGTCTCTTCCTTGTTTGCTAACCCAACGAGCCCCTGTGCACAATAGCCTTCTGATACCGCAGAGACTACAATCGACCCAAACAAAGAAACTGATTCATGGTTGCAGAATCAGGGATTATAAATTCCTACGTCATCTCACTTTCAGAACACGAGTCTCTTAATCCCCTTCCTTGGCTCCGCTTCAGATGTCAGGTACTAGCCCTCAGTGATTGCATTTCATTGGCATGAACAGGGTACAGTCCCCAAGACCCAGATAGTTTTCCAAGTCTGCCACAAGCCAGGGTCCTCCCTGACCTGGCACCTACAGTGTTTTGTAATACTGTGTCCTATTGATTTAAAAGTAAATACATCTTCTCTCATTTAAGTATAGATCGTTCAGTTTATAACTTTTACTTTGCAGCAAACCCAAAAGAGTGCTCGTCAACTATTTTTTTTTGTCAGATACTATCTTTAAATATATATTTTTTTAATTGATTTTGTACAGAGAGGAAGGGAGAGAGACAGAGAGTCAGAAACATCGATGAGAGTGAGTCATCGATCAGCTGCCTCTTGCACAACCCCCACTGGGGATATGCCCACAACCAAGGTACATGCTCTTGACCGGAATCAAACCCGGGACCCCCCAGTCCCCAAGCCGACGCTCTATCCATTGAGCCAAACCGGTCTCGGCCAGATACTATCTTTAAAAAAATCCATAATAGGAGAGAGATTAGGTTAAGTACTAGGATCTGCACCTAATTCCTTAGCAGATGTGGTACAGAATGGCCTAACCCCGGCAAACTGCAGCTCGAGAAACACATGCTGCTCTTTGGCCCCTTGAGTGTGGCTCTTCCACAAAATACCACGGCCTGGGCGAGTCTATTTTGAAGAAGTGGCATTAGAAAAAGTTTTAGTTTAAAAAATTTGGCTCTCCAAAGAAATTTCAATTCTATACTAATGATATTTGGCTCTGTTGACTAATGAGTTTGCTGACAACTGTGCCAACCCATGGAACTTGTGACTATGTTATAGTTACATGGCAAATGAGAATTAAGATAGTAGATAGGCCCTAGCCGGCGTAGCTCAGTGGATAGAGCAACGGCCTGTGGTCTGAAGGATCACAGGTTTGATTACGACCAAGGGCATATGCCTGGGTTGCAGGCTCGATCCCCAATAAGGGGTGTGCAGGAGGCAGCTGATCAATGACTCTCTCATCATTGATATTTCTCTCTCTCTTTCCCTTCCTCTCTGAAATCAATTAAAAAAAAAAAAAAAGATAGCAGATGGAATTAAGTTTGTTAATCACTTGACCTTTTGGGCATGAGCCCTTGACCAGAATCAAACCTGGGACCCTCCAGTCCGCAGGCCAACACTGTATCCACTAAGCCAAATTGGCTAGGGCTCCTTTGTCTATTTTCGTTGTTCTATAGTATTCCATTGTGAGCATAACAGTTTACTCATGTTTTTAAAAAAGGAAAATTGTAGATTAAGAGTGGTCTCATCCCCCTCCAGGATTTCTGACTTCTTATCTGCTAATAAGCAAAGATAGAATATCCAGAGTTTGCCAAATGTATTTGACCAGGAAACTTTTTTTTCTTCAAAGTGTCTAATGAGACTGATATTTAGTAGGACATGCTTCAGTAAACCCTGGTCTGAAGCAATGGTTTTGAAATTGTATTCCTTAATACTGCCTAAGGAATGAGAGTAAGATCAACTGGATCCCACTTCTGCTTCAACACATCTCCATTTTTATCTATTTGAAGAATGGATTCCACATAGGGGTGTGTGCGTGTGTGTGTGTGTGTGTGTGTGTGTGTGTGTGCGCGCGCGCATTAACTTCCCACATGTCTATGTTGAAAAAAAGTGTTTCGTTGCCTTAAAAAATTTTTTTAAACTGCAAGTTCAGGCACTAAAGGACCTCTCAGAAGGCCTTTACACAGACTCAAGTTCCATCCTAAAAGAGCTTTCTGACCTTACCCAAAGTTCATTGCTTTTGTCACTGTTGCTTGCCAAGCTCTGTCAAAGGGCAAGCTGTTCACTCTGATTCTGCCAGTGGTGCTGTGGAAAGGACTCAAAAGAGATCATAGACAGCAGCTCAATGCAGATCAGACAGCTTAGTTCATAGGCAGCTTCTGTCTATGAAATCAGAGGCTAAAAATAGATCATTACTAGGTGTACTGGTTAATAATAGTGGATTTTGTAATGAAAGAAAACACAATAATTTCAATAGAAACATCAGAAGTGCTTTATTCAAAGTAATGTCCATCACTAGCTATACATTTCCCCACCTTTCAGGTAATTTTTGGATAGAACATTTTCCCCCAATAGAACTCTTCTTGTTTTGAGGCAAACCATTCCGAGACCCAATTTTCCACTTCTTCATATGTTTTGAGGTGCTGCTCAGAAAGTGCGTGTGCCTTTGATAGGGACAAGTGATAATCTGAAGGAGCAACGTCTGGTGAATATAGCGGGTGGGTTAATACTTCCCAGGCAAGATCTTTTAATGCGTCTTTAACTGATTTGGAGTGTGTGATGGTGCACTCCAGAGCCAAACTCCCTGGCTTCAACTACAGGTTCTGCTGCCAACTAGCTATGATTTTGGATAAGTTTCTCAAATACTCTTGTCTTAGTTTGCTCACCTTTAAAATGGAGGTGAAAGTAATAGCATCAAACTCATAGGCTTGATGAAGATGAAATGAGATCTCACACACACACACACATACACACACACACACACACACACACACACACACACACGAGGCCTGGTGCACAAAATTCGTGCACAGGGGACAGGGTGGGGGGGTCTTAGCCCCGCCTGCACGCTCTTGCAATCCGGGACTCCTTGGGGGATATCCAGTTGCTGGTTTAGGCCTGATGCCCTGGCAGTCAGACATCCCTCTCACAATCCAGGACACTGCATGCACCAGTGACCATACTTTTCATACAGGTGAAAGGCATCTTGCTATTGTATGAGCAGCTACATTTTTTTGTCCTGATTATAAAAAGTAGAACATGACACGATCCTTCTGGGGCAGTAGTACCGTTTTCCCCATCTTACGGGTGGAAGAACTGAAGCAAAGAGAAGTTAAGTAATTGGCTTTGTCACACAGTTATTAGTGTCAAAATCAGGGCTGACCACAAAATGTGCAAGCCAGAGTCCATGCATGTCATTGCTGCATCATCCTGTTTCTTCAGTGTTAGAGTAATCTTGCCAGGTTTTAATTTTTAAATCTAAGAGACTGTTCCCAATATATAGGGTAGGGTCCTTAGGCCTGGCTGGTGTCAGGGCTGATTTGTGAGGTGACCAGCAGGGTGTTGCGGGGCGGGGGGGGGACCACTAGCACTCATCTTGACTGACAGCCTGGCACTGTCCACTCACCAGCCCCACCCCGCTGCTGCCACTCATTTCCTTCTGCAGGGTGACCAGTGGGCAGGGTGATGGGGGGTGGGGGAGCCCCCAATGGCACTTGCCTTGGCTGGTGGCCTGGCATCACTTGCTCACCGGGCCTACCTGGAGGCAGCTCCTGCGTTGAGCATCTGCCCCCTGGTGGTCAGTGCGCATCATAGCAACTGGTCATTCTGCCATTTGGTCAATTTGCATATTAGGGTCATGTGTGTGTATATATATATATCTCCTAATATGCAAATTATATATAATCTAATATATATATATGTATATATATGTATATGTGTGTGTGTGTGTGTGTGTGTGTGTGTGTGTATATATATATATATATATATATATATATATATATATATATATATAAAATCTATTCTCTCACACAGGGTATGCAGAGTTTTTCTTCCCAGGCACAGTGAGAACGACCAGGATGGGGAGGAGCCAGGACATGGGCTATCATGCTGACCCTACTGCTAACCCACTGTGTAATTTTTGGTGAGACCCTTAACCATTCAATGTTGTTAACTGACTGTGTAATTTTTGGTGAGAACTTTAACCTACAATGAAACTTGTAGGCTTGTTTTTCTCTTCTACCAAATTGACGCAGTACCTGCACTGTACTTCTTAAGGTTGCTTTGGGAATTGGATAAATAATGCTGTTAAATAATGCTGTGAATATGGTGTTAAAGTACTATAAAGAAATGAGTATCTGTAACTCTCAGCCACTACCTCCTCCTAGACCCAAGCACTCTAATAAGTTTATACCAAGGATCCTTCCCTCCACCTTCTCCCTCAGCCTAACTAAGACTCCACAATACAACACTCCATGATAGACTCCTAGTCCTTGGGTTAGAGCAGTGGGGTTAGGGAAGAGACCATTTTTTCTCCACTTTTCAGGTTCCCCAGGTCTCTGCAGAAAGGACAGAGCTACTAAGTATTAAATATTCAGGAATCCACATTTACTCTTGAAATTCTAGCTTAATAAGCCTCTTGATAATGTTTCCTGCTAAACTAGAAAAGGATGGCAACAGAAGAATGTTGGGAGACATTCCATTCTCCAGTCTCTTGGGAATCCTGGTAGCTCAACTTTCCAGTGTGTTATATCTGGAAGAAACTTTAGATCAGTGGTTCTCAACTCTGGCAGGACATTAGAATCACCAGGGGAGCTTTTAAAAAATACCCTTGCCCAGCTGTACCTCACACCTCGGGGGACTGACCTAGATATCAGTAGGTTTTTTTATTTCTTCAACTACACTTGACATACAATATTATATTAATTTTAGGTGTACAACATAGTGATTAGACATTTAGATAATTTTATTAAGTGATCACACCAATAAGTCTAGTATTACCCATCTGACACCATACATAGTTATTACAATATTATTGACTTTATTCCTATACTGTATTTTACATCCCATGTATGTATAACTGACAATTTGTACCTCTTAATCCCTTCCAACTTTCACCCATCTCCCCAACCTCCCTCCCATCTGGCGACCATCAAAATGTTCTCCGTTAGGTATTGTATTTTTAAAGCTCCTCAGGTGATTACAACATGCACCTTAGTTTGACAATAACTACTATGGATGATCCAAGATAAACACCTCATTTTACAGAAGGAAAAAATGAGGCCCCAGGAGTTTAAGAATTATGTTCAGCCAAAACCGGTTTGGCTCAGTGGCTAGAGCGTCAGCCTGTGGACTGAAGGGTCCCAAGTTCGATTTCAGTCAAGAAAATATTTACAAATATCCAGAATAGAGAAGGAACTCCTACAGTTGATAACAAACAAAACAAAACAAAACAAAACACACCAAAAAAAAGATGATTCAAAAATGGGCAAAGACACCAGGCTAGTGTGGCTCAGTTGACTGAGCACAGTCCCATACACCAAGAGTCACCAGTTTGGTTCCTGGTCAGGGCACGTGCCTGGGTTGTGGATTTGGTCTCTGGTGGGCTGGTGGTCCACTGGGGGACAGGGGTGGTGGGAGGAGGCAGCCCATCGATGTTTCTCTCTCTTCCTGCCTCTCTCTCTAAAAAGTCAACCAAACATATTTTTAAAATATATTTTTATTGATTTCAGAGAGGAAGGAACAGGGAGAGAGAGATAGAAACATCAATGATGAGATAGAAACATCATTGATCAGCTGTCTCCTATACACACTGGGGATCAAGCCTGCAACCTGGGCATGTGCACTGAATGGGAATCAAACCATGACCTCTTGGTTCATAGGTCAATGCTCAACCACTGAGTCATGCCGAATGGGCAAAAACATATATTTTTTAAGGACTTTAAAAAATTGATAAAGGGTTTGACTAGATATCTCTCCAAAGAGAATACACAAATAGCCAATAAGCACATGAAAAAATGCTAAAAACCACTCCTCATTAGGGAAATGCACATCAAAACTATAATGAGATTTCACCTCACAGCTAGTAGGGTGGCTCTAAAACAAAACAATGGAAAACAAAACAGAAAACAACAAGTATTGGCAAAAGTGTAGAAAAATTGGAACCCTTGTACATTGCTGTTAGGAATGTAAACTGGAGTAGCAGCTGTGGAAAACAGTAAGACAGTTCCTCAAAAAATTAAAAATAGAATTACCATATGATCCAGCAATCCACTTCTGAGTTATGTATCTAAAAGAATTAAAAGCATGGCCTTGAAGAGATATTTATACACTCATATTCATATATCAGAGTCCAAGGCAGGCTGCCTGATAATGCACCACAATGGCATTTTAATTACTTTGAATTAAAGTAACTTGGTCCCAGACAAAAAAACCTAAAGGAGTCTATCACTACTAAAGTAATATTACAAGAAATGTTAAAGGGACTTCTTTAAGAAGAAAAAAAATCATAAATATGAATAATAAATGGCAATAACTACATACCTAACAATAATTACTTTAAATGTAAATATATTAAATACTTCAATTAAAAGACAGGATGGCTGAATGGATAAAAAACAAAACAAAACAAAACAAGATCCATACATATGTTGCCTATGAGAAACTCACTTCAGATCAAAAGACACAAACAGACTGAAAGTAAAAGGATGGAAAAAAGAAATTTCATGGATCTCTAACCAGTTTGGCTCAGTGAGAGCATCGGCCTGTGAGGGTGTGCAGGAGACAGATGACCAATGTTTCTCTCTCATCAATGTTTCTAACCCTCTATTCATCTCCCTTCTTCTCTACAAAAAAAAATCAATAAAATATATTTTAAAAGATATTTCATGAAAATGAAAAAAAAATAATAAAACTAGGGTAGCAATACTTATATCAGACAAAACAGACTTCAAAACCATGGCTAGAATAAGAGATAAGGAAGTACCCAGCAGTTTCACTTCTGGGTATTTACTTGAAGAAACCCAAAGCACTAATTCTAAGATATATGCATTGCTATGTTCATTGCAGTATCCTATATAATAAAACCCTAATATGCAAATCAACCAAACAGCAGAACAACCGGTTGCTATGATGTGCACTGACCACCAGGGGACAGACGCTCAATGCAGGAGCTGCCCCCTGGTGGTCCGTGCACTCCCCACAGGGAGAGCCCTACTCAGCCAGAAGCTGGGCTCACCACTAGGGAGTGCAGCAGCAGTGATGGGAGCCTCTTCCACCTCCACTGCAGGCGAGCAATAAGGAATGAGGGGTCCAGGACTGTGAGAGGAATGTCCCACTGCTGGCCAGAGTCAGATATCCCGCACGGGGCCCCGGACTGCAAGAGGGTGCAGGCCGGGCTATGGGAACAACCTCCTCACCCTGCATGAAATTTTGTGCACTGAGCCTTTATAATAGCTTATAATAGTGAAGATATGGAAGAACCTAAGTGTCCATCAATAGACAAATTAATAAAGAGATGATACATATATGCAATGGAATATTACTCAGCCATAAAAAAAGAATGAAATCTCACCATTTGTAACAACATGGATGGATCCAGAAGGTATTATGGTAAGTGAAATAAGTCAGACAGAGAAAGACACACACCATATGATTTCACTTATATGTGGAATCTAGAAGACAAAATAAACAAAACAGAAACAAACTCATAAATACGGAGAACATTTTGATGGTTGTCAGATGAGAAGGGGGTTGGGATAATGGATGAAAAAAAAAAAGTGATTAAGAT